GGATTGGTCTGTCTAGGGCAGTGATCGGCAAACTGCGGCTGGAGAGCCACATGCGGCTCTTTGGCCCCTTGATTTTTTAGCAAACAGCTTAGGAGTACCCTAATTAAGTTCATAACAATGTACCTGCCTATATAGTTGAAGTTTTAAACATTTGGCTCTCAAAAGAAATTTCAATCGTTGTACTGTTGATATTTGGCTCTGTTGACTAATGAGCTTGCCTTCCACTGGTCTAGGGGATCTGAGGCTCAAGTCTTTTTCTTGTTGCTGTTTTTTTAAGGTGGAAGAGTCTTGAACATACTTACAAGCTGAGGAGAGGAGTCCCTGGAGATAGGGAAAGGTTGACCAAAGAGCTCAGGGGGACAGGAGGGCACAGGGGGAGTGGTTTGCCCTGGGCAAGCCGAGGCACAACAGGTGCCAGCCCCACAGTGGGAATGTAGAAATTCTTGAGAGTTCAACGCTGGTGAATGTCAATCATCTGATGATTACCAAACCCCATGGGTATAGCAGCGTGGGTGGAGCCATTGTGATGGTGATGCTGTGGGAAAGGAGCTGACCAAGGTCCTGTCAAAACAGTTTCAGAGCAGCAATAAGAGCCTGCTGAGGTTGAAAACCTAAGGGTGTGGTGTGATTTTCGCCCCCATCCCTTCATCCAGACTTGCTATTCTGGACATATGCATGGAGGAGGCTCACACTTGAGGATGGGATGCTGGGGTGATGAACCATTCTGCTTTTCCCGGGACCGAGGACTTTTCTGGGACACAGAACGTTTAGTGCCAAAACTGGGAAGTCCTGGCAAATCAGGACCAGCTGATCACTCAAGGTGTTGCAGAGCTGGTGGTCAGGAGGCAAAATGGCAGGAGAATTATTAGGGTACTAGCGGGCGAGAGTTTGTAGCTTATGCTCTCAGTCCAGTTTGGGGAGAAAGTGAAGCGAGGCTATTACTTGGGAGTAATTTGTGATCATACCTTCATTCATTCAACAAATATTCAACAAATGAGTGCCTACTATGAGTCAGGCACTGGAGTCCACCCGGAGGATTTAACTAGAAAGAAGACAGGAATGCCCTCATAGACTATCCTTCTGTGGTGATGTCAGTTTGTCCTCAGGACCCATTCTCACCTCTTTCCCGACGGCGGACAACTACAGACTGCATCTCCCCAGCTTCTTTACAAGTAAGATGTGACTTTAGTTCTGCCATTTAGGTGCACTCAGGTGAGATTTACAAACAGCAGCGAGGTAGAGGCCAATAACTGGTTGCTTTTCTCCGTTTCTCTGCTGGCAAGCATGGTGGTGATGACTTGGGGATCTGGGTGGCAGCGTTTAGGTGTCCAATCACCAGGTGTGGAGTTGGTGGAGACAGGTGTGGTGGCGTTGCGTTGCCCTCTGGTATCTGGGTCACCACAGGTGTTCTTGAGCTCAAGTCTCCCTGTGAGGCCTCCTGATTCCCCACCGGGGCCTCCGGGTGGACTCCAGTGCCTGACTCCACTGGCTTGGCTGAGACAGTCTTCCAGGGAGTCCCAGCAATATTTCTCAGGAGCCCAGCCAAAAACCCCTTCCCCCAGCCCTTGCCGCAGTTTTATATACACCCATATTCAATATTTCTATGGAAAATACCTGATTTCTGTTTCTAAAACCTGACACAAGTTCTGTTGGCCAGGGTTTTGGAGATTCACTTTGGAAATTTACTGCTGGGTTGTTTAAAAGATCATTGAACCCTCCCACGAATTTCCCTCCAGAAATGAAACTGCAAGTTTCTTAGGTTTTGTTTTTCATTGTGAAGGTCAGAACAGTTTGTACCAGGGTACAAGGTTTTAAAAGGGCAAGGCATCGTCATTAAATTAAAATTTGACAGTGGAGGCGAGGGGAGAAGAAAAGGGGAATTTTTAAAGAATTCTATATACATATATATGCCAGATATATCTGGCTAGAAAAGGCTTAATGTAGTGGATTGAAATGAAACGAATCTAATGTTGATGAATCAGGAGGACTGGACATTTAAAAGCAGAAGAATTGGGCTCCATAGCCTCTGTCCCTCACCCAAGTGAGACAAAGCAAGTGACTTCCAGAGGAGGTGAGTGGAGCCCTGAGCTGGCAGCTCAGGCAGGGTGGGGCTGCAAGCGATGGGCACCTGGCTTCACAGAACTCTACAGACCTCATTCCACCTGCTGTCACCCCTCCTTGCCCCTCGCCACGCCTTTGGAGTCATGTTAAGTAAAATTGACCTGTTCTTTTTGAGGATGACTTTGGGATGCCTCTAAGCTTCCGTGTTCTAAAAGCTTATCTACATATGCACCAGGGCAGCTCTGAAAGCATCTTAAATGCTGTGAAATATGTGTACACAAGAGACCGAAGCTAATTTTTCTTTTTAAAAATCTATAAGGTTTCCTTTTGGCTTGCTGCTGTTTTCTAATTTTATTGTACTGTGTTCAGAGAATGTGGCATGAGGTATGTTTATTTTGGTATCTGTATACACCTATTGTCTGGCTTATGCAGCAAAATATTACAAGTTCAGTCATTCCACCTGTATGTAAAAAAACTGTAGTTTTATCCAGTCACATTCCATTCATCCTACCATGGAAAACAATTCAGTATTTATTATTGCTACATATGTTTTAATATTTTCACTATACACACACACACACTCCCTAAACAATATACAGAGTGGGGGTAAAAGTAGGTTTACAGTTGTGAGTATTCAAAACATGAGTTTATTCTTACATTGTTATTTATTAATTAACTACTTTTACCCCAACCTGTATGGTATTATTTTTTTAGCATTTAGTGTTTTAATGTATGCTTTAGCAATTTGCTTTTTGCCTAGGCAAAAATATTTCTTTTGTTTTGCTTTTTCTTTGTGAGATTCATGTAGTAATAGTTTATTTTCAGGGCCATGTGGTATTTCATTGAAGGACTATACCTTTAAAATATATATATATATATATATATATATATATATATATATATACACACATATATATATTGATCTCAGAGGGGAAGGAATAGGGATAGAGAGATAGAAATATCAATGATGAGAGAGAACCATTGATTTGCTGCTCCTTGCACTCCCCCTGCTGGGGGTCAAGCTCACAACCTGGTACCTTCCCTGAATGGGAGTTGAACTAGCGACCTTTTGGTTCCTGGTCATTGCTCAACCGCTGAGCCCACCAGCTGGGCTGTATTAAATACTTTATAGGTTAATTTATAAAAACTAATAAAATTGTGACTTTTAGTGACTAAAAAAATGAACTTGACAGGTTTCATGGAAACTAGTGGCTATTAACATGCCTGTGAGTAGAGTATAGATTTAGGCTTTCTGTAACACTTAAGCTTTCAGATTAAAAAAATAGTCTGAGTGCCAGTTACTTTTTACTTTCATTGAGCAATAATTTAGTAAATTTTATTAGTCTCATTATTCTTAAGTGGCCATATGTAAGTGAATTTTGGATGAATGAGCATCAATTTTGGATGAAGATGCATCAATACTTATTAACAAGTATACATTGGATAAAATGTATACTTTTATTAAGAGCTCACCCATTTAGACTGGTAGTGGGAGGCCAATGTGAAAAGTATGAATGAATGAATGGTCTATTTTAAAATAAAATATTTAAAAATTTTAAGAAATAAAAAATAAATGTAATTTTATTACTTTCAGACTCTTTAATATTTTCATTGATGGATAATTCTGGAATTTTAGGAAAATGGTGCTTCCTCTACGAATCTGTTTTTGTTTTTTTTCTTTGACAGCAAGAACTATATATTTAATGTCCCATATTCCCCTTTTTGCTTTGACTGCCAGGAAGCTCAGGGACAAATGCACAGTCTACTAAAATCTGTTTGGGCCTTTCTGGTCTGCATTGTATTTATCACTCCAACCCATTTTGACACTCTAACCTATTTCTTTTTCTTTGTTTACACATAAAAATTTTTCCTGCTTATGTAATTTTATTTAAGATGCCTCAAATCTTTTGTAGACTGAGATTATATATAAATAAAAATTATTTATAAATAAATAAAATAGATTCAGTGTTCTTTTCACTAAATTTAGCTACATATGTACATATACTTGTATGCAAATAGGTAGCAACAGCATCGTGCAGCTGTTATTTACTTGTGCTTGCAGTTATTTACTTGCTATGGTTAGCTTTTAACCTCCAGTGATAGAAACAGACTAGGTATTCTCCCAGAACACACACATTTAAAAAAATATATATATTTTATTGATTTTTTTTTTTTTTTTTTTACAAAGAGGAAGGCAGAGAGATAGAGAGCTAGAAACATTGATGAGAGAGAAACATCGACCAGCTGCCTCCTGCACACTCCCTACCGGGGATGTGCCCGCAACCAAGGTACATGCCCTTGACCGGAATTGAACCTGGGACCTTTCAGTCCTCAGGCCGATGCTCTATCCACTGAGCCAAACTGGTTTCGGCAACACACACATTTTTAAGTGTAAAACATAGCCATGAGACTTTAGAATAGATGGCAGTGAAGATTTTTGCTTACAGGTGGAATGAGGGATTTTAAAGTAGAACAACTGGGAAAAAAAAGGATGGGGTGGGAATAGATGCCTCTGTCTCCCATTATTTTTGATCCCCCACAGAGAGCCCCTTTTGTGTAAGCCTTCCTGGGCCAAGGTCACCCACAGAGTTGTTATACCAATTTCTTCTGTCCTTCCAGCTGCTTAGTCATTGGGTTTTTCCTGTATGATTTCACATGTACCACCTTATACATGCTAATAATTTCTGGTAAAGTGTGTGGGGTGGGTGTTTTGGGGGGAAAATTTGTCTCTTCTTTTATTTCCTTTAAAATATAAGTTATTTTCTTTGTCTTGGTTTTGGATCAGTTTCTTTGTCTTTTGAGAGTCGCTTTTTGTAGACTGAACAATATGAATTTAATCTCCTGGAGACCCAGCAAGAAAAAAAAGCCCCTATTTTGAATTTTAAGCGTAATTTCCTTTGATAAGAGGATTTAAAAAAAAAATTCCCCTTTGACCACAGAACACCTCCATTGGAAAGGATTCTGAAAGAAATGAACTCAGTAGCATTATGGCCTGTTGACTGGACTGGCGTCTTGCCTTGCAAGACACTCTGCAGGATGTCTGCTGAGGACATTCATCAGATTGAAGAGGCGCTCGATGAAGATGAGAGGGAGATGCTGTTTTTTCTGTGCCGAGATGTTGCTGCGGACGTGTCAGCCTTTAACGTCAGGGACCTTTTGGACAGTCTAATGGAAAGAGGAAAGCTGAATGACATGGGCTTGGCTGAGCTGCTCTACAGAGTGAGGCGGTTTGACCTGCTCAAGCGCATCTTGAAGATGGACAAAAGGACGGTGGAGGCCCACCTGCTCACGCACCCACATCTTGTTTCAGACTACAGGTAATCCTGAGGCCGGGAGGGAACGAGGTGGTCTAGACTTCTGAAGGAGAGAAAGAAGGAGTGTGACACAAGCAGCCTCATTGCTTGCTCTACTCAATGATCCAATTGCTGTATAATGTGACTTCATTCTTTTAAACTCTTTGATTTTCTAGGTGGTGTTTTCTTTAATTAATTGGGTGGTAGTAGATCATAATGACAATGAAAGTGATAGATGGTATGTATTTGCCCTGTGGATAGAGGGAGAGAAATAGGCCTGACCAAGACCTAGTAATTTTTTTTTTAATTTATTGATTTGATAGAGGGAGATTGATTAATGATGTCTCACTTACGCATTCATTGGTTGATTCTTGTAAGTGTCCTGTCCAGGAATCCAGCCCACATAGTTTAGGAGTATGGGGACAACACTCTAACCCTCTGAGCTTCACCCGGGACCAAGAGCTAGTAATTCTTGCAGCCTCTGTGAGATCTGAAGTGGTCCCTATTAGCTTATTTTTTTAAAATTATTTTTATTGATTTTTTTACAGAGAGAAAGAGAGAGGGATAGAGAGTTAGAAACATCGGTGAGAGAGAATCATTGATCAGCTGCCTCTTGCACACCCTCTACTAAGGAGGTGCCTGCCACCAAGGTACATGCCCTTGACCGGATTGAACCTGGGACCTATCCACTGAGCCAAACCGGTTTCAGCTGTTAGCTTATTTTCTATGATGTCAGACCAGGCAATTTTTTTCATACTGAGGAAGGAAATAAGTCATAAATAAGTCATAAAATGATCTCACTCATTTGTTCAATATAATGAACAATATAAACTGATAAACAAAGATAGAGCCAAAGACACAGAAACAAGTCTTTCTGATCATTGTGGAACAGCGGAAACTAATGGGTTGGACTTCCTATGAAGTTTCTGGGAAGTACCTACTTTCAGAGGCTTCTATATGAAAGTTCCAGCCCCAATATGGAAATTAACATGTTCAGACATGTCAGGCTAGTGAAGACCATATCTCAGCCTCCTTCAGAGAGGACCATCCGCTGGAGTCCCCTTTAGTTCATATAGCCTTCAAGTTGCTCCTTTTGCTCACAAAAAGCTCTCTTGGAGGTTCTGGGGTGCACAGAGCCACTTTTCCAGCCAAAATATAATATCAGTAACCTTAAAACTTGTTGGGAACTGCTTAAATTAGCAGACCACCAGCCTTTAGTCATTTTTTAAAATACATTTTTATTGATTTGAGAGAGAGAGAAAGGGAGAGGAAGATAGAAACATCAATGATGTGTTTTGTTTTTCAAAAAAATATGTTTATATTGATTTGAGAGAGAAAAAAAGGGAGAGGGAGATAGAAACATCAATTGGCTGCCTCCTGCATGCCCCCTACAGGGAATCTAGCCCAGAATCCGGGCATGTGCCCCTGACTGGAATCGAACTTGAGACCCTTTAGTCTGCAGGCTGATGCCCTATCCATTGAGCCAAACTGGGCTAGGGCCATTTTTTCATTTGTTAAGTAGCTTTTTGTGTGTGTGTGTTTGGGTTGATATATGCCAGCCTGTTATTTGGAAAGTGCTAGAGCAAAATACGTGAAGACTCTTCCGTACTCAAGATTCTGTGAGGCTAATTGGGAAAACAGCCCTTCAGCCCGATAAAGCATGGTGGTAGCTTTTACTGCAGCAGAGGTGACTGGCTGAGTCAGGAGGAGCTTTCTAGAGCAGGACATCTGTGGTCACAGTTCCCAGGCTCTAGCTAACATTTACACTTTGAGTTTCAGAGTGGGCCGGGTGTTTGCTTTAGAATCTTGTGACTCAAAGTATGGTCCCCAGATCAGCATCCGCATCACCTGGGAGTTTGTTCAACAGAGAAGATCATTTTCAATTCTATTTCTGTCTTCATCTTAGTCATTACTTATTTCTTCATAACTTCTGGGGGAGCTAGGGGATTCTTTAGTGAAGTTTTTATTCTCTGAGTTGTTTTCAGAGTAGTTAGTTGGAAAGAGAGGTACCATCTCCTATTGAAAACTGGAGAAAACATGAATTATCTTTTGGAGTTCTCTTAAGTTCTCCTTCTGGGGTGATCTAGGCTTTCTGTCTTATGCGGGGGGGGGGGGGGGGGAGCACATTCACATGGGGACAAGAACTAGTCCTTTAACCAATTATTGGCACAGAGGAGGCATAGGTTCTTGGCGGTCTCACTGGGACTGGTATCTGAATTGACTAAAGAAACTTGTCTGTTTCACAGGGTGCTGATGACTGAGATTGGTGAACATTTGGATAAATCTGATATGTCCTCGTTAATTTTTCTCATGAAGGATTATATGGGCCGAGGCAAGACAGCCAAGGATAAGGTGTGTTTTCTTTTTCTTGGTTATTCCCAAGAGTCCATCGGAAATTGGAGGATACTCTCTATGATATGAAGAAAGGAAAGCAAGCATTTGAACAAGGAGGTCCAAGCTGAGGATGAGGGAAGGCAGATAGTGAGAACAGTATGGGTTTTGCTTTTTAAAAAAATATAATTTTATTGATTTCAGAGAAGAAGGGAGAAGGGAGAGGGAGAAAGAATCATTGATTGGATGCCTCCCGCATGCTCCACACTGGGGATCAAGCCCACAACCTAGGCATGTGCCCTTGGCTGGAATCAAACCCAGGACCCTTCGGTCCACAGGCCCACACTCTTCCACTGAGCAAAACTAGCCAAATGTTTGGTTACTCTATTTTAGAATAAAAATAGCACATCAGCAAACAAATGTTAAGCAGAAGGGAAGTGAAACCAAATACCTGAGTAACAAAATGCCCAGACCTTGACATTTTGTCCTCTCATATCCCCTGAATCAGAGGGAGTTGGAATGGCCAGCATTGATTAAAAATTTTAGGAACTTCAAAAACGGTATCACTGGGGTTTTCCTAGTAAGTAGTTTCCCCAAACTATTCTCTCTTCCTTTTCCAGGAAAGCCCATAGAGTTTTTTTACTATATCACCAGCCCGAGTGTTTGAAAAAGAAGCAGCTCTGGAGGATTTTACTGTATTTTTAGGCCTGCTCCCACCATATTCCTTGATGACACAAAAGGGCCATGTGTCCATCCCCAACCTAGGTACAGCTTGGCCACCAAAAGACTTCCCACTACCTCTTTGCTGCATACACCTCAGGACAGTGATTTGCACCTTGCCTTGGAAGGACTATCACACAGAGAAGTCTAGTTTAGGATCCCTGAAGATCTGAAGGAGCTCCATTTGTCACCCTTTCTTGCTATTATAAACCCATGACCTGAGTTTTGCATTTGGGGCTTAAGAGTCAGCCCTACTGACATTTATTTCTTGTTGGTGTCTCTCTTAGAGCTTCTTGGATCTTGTGATGGAATTGGAGAAGCTAAATCTGGTTGCTCCAGATCAATTGGAATTATTAGAAAAATGTCTGAAGAACATCCACAGAATAGACCTGAAGACAAAAATCCAGAAATACAAGCAGTCTGGTAAGCAGAACGTTGGCCTTTCGGGGGCTTAAGGAAAGTACCCTGTGCAGGATAGGTGTGGTTGGCAAATATTCACTGTTGGGTGGATGGAAAGAACCTGAATGTTCACAGCATCCTGGTAGCCTGAGATTAGAGATCATATCCCTTTAAATCTTTCATATTCCAGATCTGCTGACTTCATCACCCCACGCCCAAGACCAATGAGTCTTGGCCTTCTCCAACGCACCACCAAGCAGTTCTTAACATTCCCACCTTCAAGGAAGAGTTTGCACCCCCATTTCTATACCTGGTGGAGGTGCTGTGGACATTCAGGGCTTTTGAGGATATGCCCTGCTGCCTTGCTCCAGTGTTTGGCCTGATCACCATCCAACTCTGGGTGGGATCTCGTCACTGGGGACCCATGGCTGCCCTACATACATTCTGACTTTCACAAAATCTTTTCATGAAGAAAGGGCATCTGTCCTGCTGAAAACCCCTCCCTTGGTAAAGGGGACCAGATTCACACTGGCCTTCTCTAGCATGTCCCCCACCCCATTGTCTTTTAGACTCAACCTCAACTTAACCTGGGACTTGTTAGCAGTCTACTGCCCCCAGAGTCACAGCCTGAAGGACATGGCTGAGACCCAGTGATCTACAGAACTGCCCCCCCCCCCCCACCTCCTACTCCACCCCAAATGACTGATAAAAGGTCAAGTACAAGAGTAGCATTTTTAGTCCTTTCTTAATGATGCTGGTGGAAGAAGAATCATCTGATCTGATATTTTGAATTGAGTAAGGTGGCTGAGGAGCTGAGGGTGGTTTGAAAGATGATGATTGACCTCGGACTGAGCCATTGTTGAAGATTCATTTACTAATAATTGGTAAACCTTAACTCTCTTCTGCTTACAGCTCAAGGAGCAGAAACAAGTTATGTAAATGGCCTCCAGGCATCTCTCCCAAACTTGAGTCTTAAGGATCCTTCTCCATATAACAGCGGAATGGTGAGTCGGGAGCAAATGCCTGGAATACCAGCATGAAAAAGCTTCAGAGATTTCATGAAAAAACAAAACAAAACAAACATATTCTCACACTATGTACTCCACTTAACGCATGAAAAAATTGTGTTAGAAATGCACATATTGTTTTTAAAAAACTTACATATATATAAAAACTTATGTACAAAGCTGTCACATGTATATGGAGATAATTTGGAAAATGATACAAAAATAACCACTGTTTTATAATACTTCTTAGTCTTGTATCTGTGTATTTATTGATATATTATTCCCAATCTTTTGCTTAGACAAATAATAATTCCAAATAAATAACGATTGTATTTACCTCTCTGGGCATTTGCTTCTTATTGAGATTATTGAGCTTATTGAGCTTCTTTTAATGATGTCGGCAAAAGTGTTTATTGAAAGGTTCGGAGTTGGGCCGGGATCGCACAGAACTGATTCAAGGCTCAGTGTAGTAAAAAAGGCATTTATTCAAGGCACCTGGGTGCAGGTGGACTGAGTTCGAAAAAGAAATCAGTGGTGAATGGGGAGGGAGCAGGCTTTTTATGGGTCTAAGTAGAGCTTGCAGACGGCTTTAGGCTGACACACTATCAGGACCTTGCCCCTGTCAGAGCTTTAGTTTTACGGCCCTGCCCTTTGTCCTTCTTCCTGGGGGCTGTGCAGGAGTTATGTTCTTCAGGAATTTCTGTGAAATAACCACTCAAGGGGAACATGTTTGTGCAAGGCTTAGGCTGCAGAGCGAGCTTTCTTTTGTTAGCCCCTGCTGAGGTAGAGCCATGTTTCTTGATTCACCCTTTCCTTTTTTGTTATTGAGAGATGTTATTGATTTGTGAGCATAAATATGTTTTATTCTGAGAAGTCAATCTTAGTATCATCTCATCCTCCTCCACATATAAAGATGTGTGGAATTTGTAGTGAGGACTTCTTAGATCAGAGTGTAATTTCATGGTTAAATGATAAAAACTTTCATAAAAGTATGCGATGAAAGCATTAACTACCCCTGTGATAGAAATAGTTTCATGAAGAACATGAGCTGTAAGAGATACCACTGAGCAATAGCATGTCAGCGTTGAAAAGGATGTTTAAGGATTATACTGTCCAGCCCCCTCACTGAACAAATAAGAAACGCTAAGTGATTACCCACCTCCAGCTGTCACCAGAACCGGGCCCAGTCCCTGCGCCCTCCTCTACACAGTGGTGTATGTAATTAACTACATATTTATTAGATACACCATCGCTTAGATATGTCTGTCGTTTTCCAAGAACCAATCACGTTTTCTTTTGTCTCTCTGAATCTCTGTAATATTAAATGATGAGACAAAACTGATTTAGGATGCTGACTCAGATTTTCTGAGTTTTCTCTGCTATTGTCTCTCTAATATAAATTATGTCACCATTCTTAGTTAAAAGCCTGCCCCATTTTTACTATTGTCTTTCTATTTTGTTAATGGAAGTAATTGTATTCACTGTCTTTGTAGTCCATCGAGAACTCACATGCTCTATGTGTAAAAGTCTCCTTAAATTTGCTATATTAATCTGTGACCCTGATCATTTATTCATTTAATAAGCAGGCACTGTAGCACATGTATTGCTCACAAGATTTAGGAGCTGAATACCTGGATATTAACTCATACATGGCTGCAAAAGTGCTTTAAAAGTTATGGTGGCAGCCCAGCTGGTATTGCTCAACCCCTGAACCAAGAGGTCCCTGGTTGGATTCCTAGTCAGGGCACATGCCCGGGTTTTGTAGGGGACATGCAGAAGACAGCTGATCAATATTTCTATTTCTCTATCCTTTCCCCTTCCTCTATCTCTCTCTCAAATCAATGAAAACAGATATGGTGGCATTAAATGGCACATGATACCAACATATTGCAGAATAAAAAAGTTGTATGACTCTGCAATATAATGCTTATTTTATTGCATTTATTTCTTTGCAATATGATTTTTAATATATATATGGTTGTTTTTTTTAATAAATTGATTTTAGAGAGAGAGGAAGGGAGAGGGAGAGAGAAAGAGGGAGAGAAACACATTGATGTGAGAGAAACATCCATATGTTGCCTTCTGGGCTTGTGCCCCGACTGGAAATCAAACTGCTGACCTTTCTGTGTATGGGATGACACTCAACCACCTGAACCACACTGGCAAGGGCTCAATATAATGCTTCTTAAATATAGCTTTGACTTGATGTTATATATCTTTAATAGTATGTAAAAGTGAATGCATATCCATGTGGAGCTTGAACTTCTACTTACTATCATCAACCTATGGCTAAGTCACTGGTTAGTAGGGATAAAAGCAAGTGACATGTTTTTCATTAATTTAGACACACAGACATAGCTAAAGACACAGTTTAATGAACAGTCTACTTCTCTCTTTTGGCTAGGATAGCCTCAGTGGAGAACTGTCACTTGAAAGCTGAGCGTATCAGATGGTTGACAGTATGTGGGATGTGTACCTTACACAGGACCTGTCATCTGAGAAGAAAGGGTCGGTTCAATCTTTAATTCTCTGGTTAATCCCACTGTAGCCCTCAGAAATGGTAGCTGTTCTTAAGAATTAAGCCCACGTGTGGCTTATGTTTAGCTAGGCAATTATAGGAGAACAGCAACTGGCCAGCCAGTAAGCACTTCATGTGCTAAGCACTGTCCTGAGTGCTTTGAATACATTTAACCTTCACAAAAAAATGTATAAGACAGGTACCACTATTGTCCTCATTTTGAGGATCAAGAAACAGCCATATAGAGGTTAAATAACCTGCTGGAGGTTACATAGCTAGTAAGTGGCAGAAACAAAACTTATAGCTAGGTTTATTTGAGCTAGAATTCCCACTCTTAACCATACTACATTGCCTCTGTGTTAAAGGATCAGGTTTGAGATTAATCGCATGTTTCAACAGCTTGTTCTGTCTTGGAGCTCTTTAAAAAAAATTTATTGATTTCAGAGAGGAAGGAAGAAGAGAGAGAGAGAGAGAAAGATAAAAACATCAATGATGAGAGAGAAACATTGATTGTCTGCTTCCTGTACACTCCTTCCCCTCCCCCATACTGGGGATTGAGTTTGAGCATGTGCTCTAACCCGGAAACAAACTTATGATCTCCTTCCTGGTTCATAGGTCAATGCTCAACTACTGAGCCACAGCCAGTTGGGCTGTCTTGGAGCTTTTATAGCAATTCTACTATATCATGACAGCTGACTTTATTGAGCTCTTTTGAAACATTCTAATGTGCTAATTTAGCATATTTACACATTAATTGTATTTCCACTTCTCGAAAAGAAGAGTTGCCTTGCTCTTTGGCTACAAGATGTAGGATTCATGGAATTAATAGCTCTTGCTATTCTTCTTTAGATAATTTGACAGTGAATGTAATATTTTTGTTTCTTCCTGGGTAAAAATTCTATAAACATTTTTAAGGAGGTGTAACAGAATGTGATCCTGAAAAAACTAACAGGGTCTGTGACCTTATTCTTTATATTTGAAGTTTCAGAATGGGAGGAGTAAAGGACAAAGACTCATGGTGAGAGATCCTGGCATTCAAAGTAAGACTGACTTCTCTTTATGTTTTTTCTTTGTAAATGCTTGATAATTCTAGTACAAGAATGTTTTCTTTTTTTAGAGTTGGCCATTCCCTTTATCTGTACAGTCTAATTAAAGCTCCCCAAAAGCAGTTAAACTCTTAAAATGTATTCATTGGCATTTCTAGTTACTTACTGAATTCACTTGGTTGAGTTTAAATACCTCTTACTCTATCAGTTTCATCTTCTTGGCTCTCTATTTCTGCCTGAAAGGAAAGAATAACCAGGGTGAGTTAAACATTTATCTAGCCATGATCATGAGCCATGTTAACCAAATATCCAGCAGCTGGAAGAAGAAGGGTCACTACGACCTTGTGTTAGAGCCCATTTAATAAGTGTAGGTACTCTATAGATGACGTCCCCCTCTCCAAAAAAGAAAAGAAAAACCAATTTAAAAACCTAGTGATTTCAACCTGTATGATCGTCTCTTGCATCTCTCTGACACTAGCACGCGACCCCACCTATTTTTAAAGGTGTATTTCTTTTGCTTGTCTTGAGTCCTCCTTGAAGCGAGGCTGAGACTCAGTCACACGATGGCTCAGGATTAGCCAGATGGTGAAGCCCAGGCCTGTCATTGCCTACCTCCAGGAAAAGCTAAGGAGGAGCGAATTGATTCCTGAAGTGACGGCATTTCTTAAAACTCTGCTGAGGTGTGAGCATTAGCATGCTGAAAGCTGTTTAAAGGGAAATAGGAGACCTGGCAGATCTGGATGGGGATGAAAAGCAAACTGTGTTCTTTCCACTGCGCTAATGGCAGGTTTGTTCTTGATTGGGCTTGCCCAGGCTCCGTAAGCGAAGCTCTCCACACCCTAACGGTCCTACGAGAGCTGCTTCCGCCTGGAATGGTTGATTTACTAACAAAAGAAGAAAGCATTCTTGGCCTTAATCTAACAGAAGTTTGAAATAATCAAGCCCTGTATTCTTATTAATTTGGATTTCTAAATAGATTTCATCTGAATGATGATAATGAGGATACAATTCACCAAGCTCCTACTTGTGCCTTAAATGGAGAAAGGCATATTGCATAGATCATTCTGTGCTTTTTAAAATTCTGTTAATCCATGATTGCTAAAATAGAAAAAGATAAAGTGGAATTTTTCTCTTAATTACAAGTATCAACATTATCTGATTAACGTTTGATTTATATCCCTCTAAGACTCTTATCTTTCATATATAGATGTATAAATATATACACACAAATACATATTTTGAAGTACATTGGATCAATATTATAATATTTAGTAATCCATTTGTTACTCAATATATTCTGCATATCTTTTCATGTCAAATACATAAAGATCTCTTATCCTTTTTAACACTGCATAATATTCCATTATATGGACACTAGAGGCCCAGTACACTGCGGGGGGGAGGGGCGCGTCCCTCAGCCCAGCCTGTGCCCTTTCGTAGTCTGGGAGGCCTCTGGAGATGTCTGTCAGCTTAAGCCGAAGTTGGACATCCTTAGCACTGCCGAGGAGGCGGCCACTGCGCTCACCAGCCATCAGCCCTATGAGAGCGTACTGACTACCAGGGGGCACCTCCTGAGCTGAGCGACTGCCCCATGGTGGTAAGTGTGCCTCATAGCGACCGGTCATTCTGCCATTTGGTCTATTTGCATATTACCTTTTTATTATATAGGAAAATTTATTTACTCCATTTCATATGGGTAGACTTTTAGTTTCTTTTTAGCTTGGGTCAGTCCTTCAGGATATGTCCTTGACATTTTTGCACACTTCTCTATTATTGCCATAAGATAAGCTTCTAGAAGCAGAATGTTGTTTTAAAGGGTGTTGCTAGTTGTTCTTTAAAAAGAGTGATTCAACTTTTATGGCTTTGAAAATGCTCAATTCCCCCAAGCCTTATCTTTCCTGGCATTTTCTTGGCCTGTCTTTAGACATTATTTCTCATTTTTGCAACAACAGTACAAAGCCGATTTTGGTTTGTTCACCCTAGAGACTCAAAAAAACCTGATACTTCAGGAAGAAACTTGCCCAAATTCACAGAGCTTGTTCGTGACGGTGCTAGGGTTCACGCTCGCCTTTAATGGTTTTAAAGCTGATGGTTTCTCTACCTCACTGGGCTAAAAAAGTCATTTTTATCTAACAAAATGTGCTGTAGACTCACCTACATGTGCTAAGCTCGCTGTCCCCGTATTGCCATTGACATTTAATGTTATGATCTCCCAGTATCCCTGGGCTAAGAAAACCTGGCCATCTATTCAGTCTCTAAGGCTGTTCCCTTGGGTGTTGCCAGTTGTAGCACAGAGAGGAAAGCTGTTGATATTGTGGTGAAGTTATTAGATTCTCAAGTTAAACACTCAGCAGTTACCTGGCCCTCACCTGAAGAAGGGCAAGGGGGAGCCTTCTCTCAGTTGCTATTGAAGCAGTTTTTCTACATGACCCTTCTTTAGCACAGACACTTGGGTTACAGTTAGGTTTTCTTTTTCAAAAATATGTTTTTATTGATTTTTACAGAGCGAGGAAGGGAGAGGGAGAGAGAAATAGAAACATCAATGGGAAAGGAACATCATCAATGGGCTGCCTACTGGGGATTGAGCCAAAACTTGGACTTGTGCCCTGAATGGAGTGGAACCAGAGACCACTTGGCTTATGGGTCAATCAGTGCTCAACTGCTGAGCCATGCTGGCTGGGCATATCGGTTAGGTTTTTCAGTGCAAGGTCGGAACCTTGGGGCTGAGTACAGCTGAGGAGAGAAGAGATAGTGGGGGAAAGAAACAGGGGAAGAGACCCTTGTGATATGAAAGGACACAGCCAGTGGGGAGTGGGCTAAGCCTCCTTCCGCTTTGTAAGCGATTTCCCTCTCGTCCTGCAGGAGAACCAGTGAAGACGTCGGTTCAAGAATCAGGAGCATTTCTGCCTCGGGTACAGAATCCATTTTCTCATTTGGGATTGTACTGCACGTACACACTCTGTGCAGAACCCCGGCTTCTTTAAACATAACTGTCCATTAAGAATTTCTGGTGACAGCGATAGGATTCTGAGAGTGTCATTCTCCTGAGTCCTCTTCTGAAGGGGAATCGTGGACGTAGCGAGGAGAAAGACTGGACTGGATCCAAAGTTCACTGGAGTGGATTGTGTCCGTGAACTTTGGAATGCAGAAAAACGCCAAGGGCCACTGGTCAGCTGAGTAATTGCTGGAGCCGAGTCACTGAACCTTGACTTGCTTTTTGCGGGGGCTGATCACTTCTGTAAGGAGAGGCCATAGGAGGACATCTTTTGTACTTGTTTGCAAAGACATCACCTGTACAAACTGAGGTTCCTGAGAAATATGTGATCATCTTTTCTCTGTCTCAAATAATCTTTCTCCTGCAAAGCTAGGACCCATGTAAAGAGACTGCAGTTCTCCTCACAATTAAATAAAAAACCAGAAGTAGCTTGTTGTCTGAAGCACATTTCCTGAATAGAGGAACAATTTGATATTAAATGGAAATGTCAGCTGTGATGACGCCAGGCTCTGTCTGTTGACTGACTTCCCTGCCAAAGGGCCGTTTAAGAAAACCCGGAGGGAAAGATGGTGCCTTGGGGAGACCTTGGGGACACAGCGGTGCCCAGGGTCCTTATCAATCCCTGCTTTGTTTTCCAGCCCCTCCCGGAGGACAGATACCGGATGCAGAGCAAGCCCTTGGGAATCTGCCTGATACTTGATTGCATCGGCAATGACACAGGTAGGAGTGGGTGCCTCCAGCATGAGACCACGCCGCAGGCAGGCTACCCCGCAGGCCTGATGAACACTCGCGGCTCTCACAAACCACTGCCCACCTCTGCATGAAGCGGAGTCTCTCTTTCAGGTCACCGTCCAGTGTGGATTGGGCCAAGCAAAACAGGGAATTTCCAGTGGTGCGCTGCAAGGATGTTTACAATGTGGCATTCTTGACTATATTTAGCCGGAGGCACTGAGCTCTTTTCCCTTCGTGGTCAGATTTAAAAAGAGAGAGAGAGAGAGAGAGAGAGAGAGAGAGAGAGGGAACAGCTGACACAACAATAGCTAAAACATTATACTCTTTTTTTTTGGTTAGATCAGCAAAAATATCTCCTTGGTGTGCCGCAGAGTTTTAGTCGTCGGTCTATGTGTTCTGTGAGGTGGAAGAGGTTGAACACCGCTGGGCAGGGGTTCCATGTGGTTATTTAGTAGCTTCAGCAGCGGAGGCCCTGGAGTTTCCCACGGGATCCTCTCTGTCTGGCTGATGGATGGAGGGAGTGCGTGATCCCACATACATTTGGGGACCAGGCCTCAGAGTGGTATGCCCTATTTCTTAAAAATAGTTTTTTTTATTGGTTTTGGAGAGAGAGAGGAAGGGAGAAGGATAGAAAGATAGAAACACCGAAGATGAGAGAGAATCATCTGCCTCCTGCCTCCTGCCTCCTGCCCCTACACTGGGGATCGAGCCTGCAACTCAGGCATATGACTTCCTGGTTCATAGGTCCATGCTGAATCATCAAGACACACCAGCCAGATGGTCTGTATCATTTCCACCCGCATCCCACTTAACAGAACTCCTTTGTATGGCTTCACCCAACCCCAGTAGACAAGGAACTGAGTGTGTCAGGAGGAAACTGAAAGGGGACGCGTGTGTGTGCATGTGTGTGGGGGAAGAGGCGTGGTTTGTGAAAGTTGCGAAATGGAAGGCTTTCTGGCTTCAGTATTACCAGATGCCTCATCATTTCACCCAAAGAGACAGTGAACTTTTCTTGGGGGGGACATTAAAAATATGGTTAAGTATGTGTTCTCTCAGAGGCAGTGTGCCACTTAGTTCTGCACCCCACACTGTGGGGATTTTGCCCTGAGTCTGAGCTATCTGTGTGTCACCACTGTTTGCATCTAGGTTGATTCTTTGTTCTATTCTGGTGACTCAAATGAGACCAGTCACTGGTGATGCATCTAAAGAGAATGGGGAAAAGCTAGTTAAGTGGAATAACATGTTTAATTCCCATCTGTTCCTTAAAAGGGTTGGTCGCTCTGTCTCCCCGGTTTCCTTCCAGCTTTCCTACATCCTCTCAGAATGAACCAGAGCTAGCTTTTAGGCTCACTGAAAATGTTACCATGGAGAGATGGTTGGGCAGAGAATCGAACAGAAGATCAAATTAGCAAACATTAGACTGGATATCCCAGGATTCCTGATATGATCTCTCTTTCTCGTTCCCTATTTTGGGTTTAGATGTGAGAAATGCTGGTTTCTCAGTATATATAAGCATCCTTTTTTTTTGCAGCCATTAGTACCCATATAAGAAGAGCAGACACTATCTCAATGAGTAACTTCTGCTTTTAAAAGAGACTGTGTTTGTCTTCTGCTTTCCATTTTAATCCATTTTCTGTTTCATTCGTTTGAGTTCCCAGGTGCACATGGAAGGGGATGCACATCTGTGGCATAAAGAGAATCACACAGATAAAAAGCCAGGATCTGCTGTGGTTTTGTGACTAAAATCCACTGTCTGTGCTTGCTTCATGCTAGGTTATGGGCCTCTAGCCGGCAGGGACTGAATGCGTATTTGTATGTTTCTGCATTTCAGGAGAGTGGTCAGGGTTAGGCTATGACTGCTGCGTGGGTGTGAATCATGGCTCTGCCATGTGCTAGCTTGTGACCTCGGGCAATTTTCCTGTGTCTCAGTTTCTATTCTGTAAAATGCATTAATAACAGGACCTCCCTCACCGCAACGTTGGGAAGCGTGAGTAACAGGGCTCACGTCTCAGGAAGATTGGGCTTAGGGTGGTGCCTGGTCCACTGTAAACAGGTCCTAAATGCAGCTTACATTCCTTTCCCAACTCGCCTGTTTACCTTTGGTTGCACACCACTAAGCTGGAACTCGCCTGGCTTTGTGCATGGTACAAGGAGTCTGATCCCAGATGAGTGAGGGCCTAGAGAACTGAGGGCTGAGCCTGCGCTGGGCCCGGCTGAGTGGGGCAGGTCCCCACAGGCTGGAGCTGGGTGGAGTGGATGGGTAACCTGAGAGGCCGAAACTTGTGAGGCGGGAAGCTAGCCAGACCACTCCGACCACAGTCATCCCTGTGAACTGGAGTGGCTGAGACAGAATCTGACTCCAAGGCCAATGCCCAGGGCCAGTGAGGGAGGAGAAAGACCTGATTGGGGAGGATGGAAAGGAGGGTAGAAGTGGAGGCGGAGCCCGGGGCATGTGTGTCTGTGGTCTGAAGTAGGAGTAGGCGTTGGTAGACAGCACACTCTACTTTCATCGTGCAGTGTTCTAATCTGCTGAGGGGCCCAGCGTCCATGCTAAGCTCGGCTGAGACTCGGAGCCCCTGCAGAGTGTTGATTAAGACGAGTGGAAGGCACGGCCTCTTCTTCTCGCCTTTGTCCTAGGCCTCCCGCCCTTCCACGGCCAGCTGCCCTCCTGGAGATTTTCACCGAGGCCCGGACTCCTGCTTTGGCTAGCAGAGGTCTTCATTACATGGAGCAGCCTTCCTGTCTGCATTTCCATCTGAACAACAACCTGTCTTTTGCCTGGTTGACTTTGTCATGTGGTTAAGGTTGGACATTGGCGAAGTGTGTAGGAAGGAGTCTGGAAAGAAACATTACCGCCAACTGAGACAAGGGATCTGAAAGGGACCGGCGGTCATAGGATGACTAACTGGAGAGTGGCGGTAATCAGAGTGTAAACTTGATTTAAACTCGACGATGTGCTCATTCCTTTACATGGATTCTCACTGAATCTTCATAACTAATACTGTGAGGTCCGTACTATTATCCCCATCTTCGAGGTGAGCAAGCAGAACACGGTCAACTCTCTTCCTAACTTCCCTGGGATTTGAAAGCTTAGCTCCAGAGCCTCTGTCCGCTCTTGGCTACTTTGCTATAACTGAAGTTCCATGTGGGGTGGGAGAGGGACTGTGTCTCCAATACCTGGAGCACTACCTGGCACATTAGAGCCCAATAAACATTTGGTGGGTGAATGAAGGAAGGAATACATTTCAAATATTAGCTTCAATTAGCTCTTCTAATCTCAGTGCGGTTCTAAAACCATTTATCTGTATTGCAGAATCTAGCAGACGTTCTGATACCTACCTAACTCTGTCCTCAAAAAAAGAAAAGAGAGACTTTTACCCAGAGAGTATGCAAGTCCCCCAACATTTATAAGTTTATTCTTCCTTTATCACATTAATGTTTATTGAGCACCTACTATTTGCAAAACCCCATGTTTGGTCCTGTGTGAAGCAAATATGGAGGCAATGAGGTGTAGCCTGGTCTCAGAGCCACGCTGTGAATGACGATAAGGTGATTTTTGGGTGACTTGTTCCTGAGACACATCCTCATAGGGAATGTGACCTCTCCTCGGAGAGGTAGGGAGGTGTAGGGATTTGGGCTAATTGTCGCATTTGGTAGAATTAAAAAGCCAGCCATGGTGTGATGCCATCAGTGCCAGTGACCTTGCAGGGCTGGGCTTCAATGGAATAGAGAAGTGAATGAATCAGGTCACAGACAGGTGAACTCCAGGCCTTGATCTAATGCCTTGATCTGGCTGGTGTGCAGGCTCCTGAGTAAAAGATTTTAAGAAGTATTTTGCCCCCTCTCTTTTCTCCCTGGCTCTTTCTGAAAAGCCAGGAGATGTTCCTGTACTTTTTAAAAAATATATTTTATTTATTTTTTTACATAGAGGAAGGGAGAGGGACAGAAAGTCAGAAACATCGATGAGAGAGAAACATCAACTGCCTCCCGCACACTGGGGATGTACCCACAACCAAGGCACATGCCCTTGATGGGAATTGAACCTGGGACCTTTCAGTCCGCAGGCCAACGCTCTATCCACTGAGCCAAACCGGTTCGGGCATGTCCCTGTACTTTTTAGCCAGGCAGGGACGGATTTCTCTAGCAGATGCTGCGCACTTCCATTGTGATCTTGAATAGGCAACGTGCTCTTCTGGCACGGAACAGCAGGAAATGAGACAGCCAGAGGCAGTGTGTGGGGGCGCTTTGCGGGCGAGCTGGCCCTTCACCAAGAGCCCCGCTCTAACTGCATAGCCAAAATGAAATCCTCCCACCTTCTGAAAACCCCAGCATTTCAGAAAGTGGATTTCTGAAGAGCAATTCAAGTTTACCAAGATAGTGCTGGGTCAGGAGTGGAATTTCCAGGGCAATGTCGAATGTGGAACTGGTTTGTCGAAGTTCTGTTTTCCGCTCAGGCCCCAAGTTCCTCCCCCATCTGCGGGGAAGGAGCGGGCAGTCACCATGCTATGTAAGGGCACGGAACCCGACTTGTCTGAGCTCATTTCCTTTTCCTGGCAGGAGAGAAGAGGACTTAGCTGAATTATCTGAAAATGCGTGCAAATCACTCCCAAACATAGTGGCTTAGAAGAACAAACTGCAGAGGCGGAGACCTTTCTCTGGGTCCCGAGGAGGCAGATTCCATGAGGGAGATGGGACATGCCTGCCTTGCTTTTCTTTAAATTCACTACCTTCTGTGGATAAGCGCTCACAGTGTCCAAAGCATCTCGGCAGGAAGCTCCCTGGATTCCCCCTGCTCCTTCCTACAGCCTAGGCATCAGTGTGATTCCCATTTTACAGATGAGTCAACTAAGGCTGTAACTTGTTCAGAGTCACTGCACTGCTACCACCCCCTTGATCCTATAAGTGAGACCGGGCCGTCTCCGTGTTCTCGCTGGCCCAGCAATGTTGCGTTCCCGGCTGACACCGTGCCACCTGGCCGGGGTAGAGGAAAGACGTGACTCCCACGGGAAACCTCAGCTGCCCGACTCGGGCTGGTCTCCGAGTGCCTGCCTCTCCAGGGGCGTTTAAAGGATGCTCCGTCATGGGCGAAGGCCCGTCCGGACCTGCTGTTCTCACTGCCCCGCTCTTGGCTTTGGGGGCCTGTGTCGTTTCTGGCTTCCCCTCCAGCTTTAGCCCTTTCTCCTCCAGTTCTATTAGGCAAGGACCTCCTGCCCTGACCTCAGGCCCGGCCCTTTCTTAGCCCCGCTGCTGGGTAAGTCAGCCCTCTTTAGGGACTAGGCAAAGCTCAGGCCCAGCGGGTAGGTGGGGGGCCGGGACTTACACTCAGATCTTAGGATGCCAAGACTGGTTCCTCTTTTGCCCTGTACCTTGCAGCTGCCTGCCCACAGCCACGTGGAACCCCACAGGGCCCAGATAAAGTTCTCTTATTTTCGGGGAAACAGGGTACTTACCAGACCCTTCAGGCCTGGGGCGGATGCTATCAACAACAGCCCACGTAGGTTAGGGCGAGACTGTGGCTTCCTTCCAGGACCTTGACAAAGGAGGGAATTTCCCGGAAGGGAGGGTCTGGAAGCAGTGAATCATCACTCTGCGATGACTTGTAAACAGGCTGCTGTTTCCCTGCTTGCTCCTGCCCCCTAGAGGCGAGAGTATTCCATGACCGGAGATCTGTGGGTCCTTTGCAGAGAAAGGAATGCAACTGGGGATCTAGTCAGGCTTTCTCCGGGGACACTTCGGGTCCCAGCCTGAGCACTGTGCTGGGTGGGAGCCTTGCCCACACCCGCAGGCGAGGGCAGGGGGCGCAGGACTGGCTGCCTCCGCTACACAGACTCTGTGAGTGCAAGTGAGCTCTTAATAGGATGCCAGCCCCCTGTGTACCATGCCCTTCCTTTCCCTGCTAATGCTCTTTTCTCATAGGGTTTTAGGAGATGGGCACCTTCTTGATATTTCTTCATGATTATCCTATAAAATAAAGAGCTAATAGGCAAATTGTCCCCCTGGGAATTTGACCAGGCCAATTCATTAATGTGTGAATTAATGAATGTGCAAAAGAGGACAAAAGCCACTGATAGGGGGCAGGTCTGGCCAGCCAACCACCTGTGTTCCCTCCTCACAACTGGCCAGACCTCACCTGTGAACGAATTCATGCACTGGATCTCTAGTGCATATATAAAAGGTTCCTGAAGACCATTCCCCAGGTAAAGAAGAGAGGTGGGCACCTAGTCAAGAGGCACAGAAAGAAATCCAGAGAAGCTCCTGGGCTGTTTGGGTGACAGCCTGAATGAGGAGATGTGGATATAGCCTCTGGGTTTAAGACAGAACAGCTCTCTGCCCCACAAATGAACTACAAACTGGAGACGTCACTCAGACAAGAAACAGAAACTGAATGGGTGGCTCAAAAGAATGTGGAATTGCCTGGCCGGTTAAGTGTTGACCTATGAACCAAGAGGTCACAGTTCGACTCCCGGTTAGGGCACATGCCCGGGTTGCGGGCTCAATCCCCAGTGGGGGGCGTGCAGGAGGCAGCCAATCAAAGTTTTGAGCGAGGAAGAAAAAGATGTCTCTTTGCTATTAGAAAGATAAAACAATTCAGGAGCCTGTGGTTATGTCTTCAGTGAAGGTAAACTGATCAGATGGAGAAGAAGTGGACTGAGTAGAGTATCTGGGTTCCAAGCTACAGAAATTTCTAGAAGATGGACAAAAAGATTTTTAAAAAGAGAATAGGAACTAATTTCTGTGGGGCAGCGGCAGTTTTGTTTGTATCATCTCATGCAATCCCCCCCTGCGTCCTCCTAGGGTGGGTCTCTCACTTCCTTTGAGAGCTGGGAAGACCCACTTCCTAAAGAGCTTGCTGCCCACAGGTGTGGCAAGGTCAGCACACTCGGCCTCTGCCTTTCCTACTGCCTTCCTCTACGCCTGGAGCCAAGGTCAATCCGGGATTTCTGCAAGCTAGGAGGAGATGACTCTAGGGGCGCTGTAGGAAGTCTTGGCCCAGGGTCCCGCTGCTTAGTCGGAGGTCACACTGGGAAGCAGGTCAGGAGGGGAACTGGAGAGACTGGAAATGGCCACCACTTACATCTGAGGGGCCTCAGGTCATCCCGCAGGTGGAGGTGAGGGAACCCACACCACCCTTTCTGCAGCTGTTGGAGCGGAGCGCTGTGATGTGTCCATTCCTGTGACCCGTCCCCTTCTTTCCCCCAGACGCTCTCCGGAAGACCTTCACGTCCCTGGGCTTTGAAGTCTGGAGTTTCTCCCTTCTGACCATGGAGGATATGATTCATCATCTTTGCCAAGTTGCCTACAGGACGCACCACCAGGACAAGGACAGCTTTGTGTGCGTCCTGGTGAGCCGAGGGGGCTCGCAGGGCCTGCTTGGCGTGGACCGGACCCACGCGGGGCTGCCTTTGGATCAGATCAGGAGGATGTTCAGGGGAGACGCGTGCCCTTCTCTCTTGGGAAAGCCAAAGGTCTTTTTCATTCAGAACTACGAGACAGCAGAGGTTCAGCTGGAGGACAGCAGCCTCCTAGAGGTCGACGGGCGAGGAGCGAGCAGCATGGACGCCAAGGCCTGGCAGCCTGCGCCCTGCACGGTTCACCCAGAGGCAGACTTCTTCTGGAGCCTGTGCAGGGCAGACGTGTCTCTGCTGGAGCAGTACCCCACCTTGTCGTCCCGGTACCTGCAGTGCCTCTCGCAGAAGCTGCAGCAGGAGAGGTGAGCTGCCCGGGCCCTAGCTGGCCCGGAGCCCCAGCCCTGCAGCCCCCACCCTCCCTCCCAGTGGTGGTTGGGCACTAACGGGTGCGCAGAGCAGGGGTGCCTCTGGGTTCCAAGGTGGACACCCAGGGCGCCAGCGGCATTACTGGCCTTTTATATGCATCCTGCATGTGCACAGACCGTCCGGGTGGGTCCGTTTGACTCAGTTGCCCCTTGGGAAAGGGGACCGAAGTCACATGCCAGAGTGCTGCCTGCTAGTTTGAATCAATCTCTAAGCAGCTTGTAAAGTATTTAGAAAAGAACACCTTCAAAGCACTTTCCCATCAGTTGGCACATTTAAAAAAAAATTTTTTTTTAGCCAACCATCGTGGCTCAGCAGTTGAGTGTTGACCTATGAACCAGGAGGTCATGGTTCGATTCTCCGTCAGAGCACACGCCCGGGTTGCAGGCTCGATCCCCAGCGGGAGGGCGTGTAGGAGGCAGCTGATCCATGAGTCTCATCATTGATGTTTCTTTCTCTCTCCCTTTTAATAAAAAATATTTTTTATTGATTTTTTACAGAGAGGAGAGGAGAGGGATAGAGTTAGAAACATCTATGAGAGAGAAACATCGATCAGCTGCCTTCTGCACATCCCCTCTGGGGATGTGCCCCGCAACCAAGGTACATGCCCTTGACCGGAATTGAACCTGGGACCCTTCAGTTTGCAGGCCAACGCTCTATCCACTGAGCCAAACCAGTTTCGGCAATAAAAATATATATTTTTAAAATATGTATTCTATTGATTTTTTATAGACAGGAAGGGAGAGGAATAGAAAGTTGGAAACATCGATGAGAGAAACACTGATCAGCTGCCTCCTACACACCCCCTATTGGGGATGTGCCCACAACCAAGGTACTGTACATGCTCTTGACCGGAATCGAACCTGGGACCCTTCAGTCCACAGGTTGAGACTCTATCCACTGAGCCAAACCAGCTAGAACAATAAAAATATTTTTATTGTTGATAGTATTACAGATATCTCCCCGTACTCCCTCTTCCAGTCCGTACACCCTCCACACCCCAGATCTTTGGCTCATTTCACCTGTCTCCTCTTCGATGTTTGCATGCCATTAACTCTTGCTTTCCTCCTCTCCCCCAGACGGCGGCCACTTGTGGATCTCCACCTTGAACTGAACAGCAGTGTGCACGACTGGAATCTTGGAGTACCCGAGAAGGAGAAGTACCACGTCTCGCTGCAGCATACCCTGAGAAAGAAACTCTTTCTCTCTTGCAAATGAAATGCCAAAGACTGTTCAGCAGGAGGTGGAGGAGTGGGTTCCCAGCAGGAACGGGTCCCCCACAGGCTGCCCATCTACGGAGGCTACGCTCTCCCCACGCCCTCCTGTGCCTGGACCTGGCGGGCTCCCTCCTGAAGATCCCCATGGAGCGTGGCCCCCCTGCACCGGCTGTCACCGCGCTGCCCAGCGGGAGGGAGGTCGTGCACGAGGACACGGAGAAGAAGGGGTGCTGGTGGCGGGGACTTGAGCAAGAGGTGGCAGCCCTGGGCAGGTCATCACCATGGGCACCGAGCAGTGTTTCTGCCACAGAGCGCTCCTGTGGAAGCACCAGGTGGAAGCACCAAGTGGGAAGAACCACGCGGCAGCACCACGCGGCAACAGCGTGCAGCCGGACGCAGAAGGAGATCACCGCCCTGGCTCCCAGCATCAGGAAGACCAAGTTCATCGCGCCCCTGAGCGCAAGCACTCTGGCTCGGGGGCTCCATCCTGGCCTCGCGTCCACCTTCCAGCAGGTGTGGAGCAGCGAGCAGGAGCAGGAGGAGTTCGGCCTCCATCGCCCACTGCAGATGCTTCTAGGCGGACTGTTACTTCGTTGGTTACACCCTTCCCCCACCCCCCCCCCCTTTCTTTTTTTCCTGGGGCCCCACAGGAGGTTACCTAACTAGTACAGAAAACTAGATGAGATTGGCATGGCTTTTTTGTGGGGGGTGGGGGGTGGGTGGGAAGGGGGGCGCTTGACTCGGGATTTAAAAACTGGCACCGTGAAGGTGACAGCAGTCTGTTGGAGCGAGCACCCCATAGTTCTACACTGTGGCCGAGGACTTTGCACGCTGTTCTTTTAAAATAGTCATTCTAGTCCTTCTCCGGTCAACACCAGAGATGCATTCTGACGGGAGGTCCCTTGCCTACCCCAAAGAGGCTCGCTTCTCCCTAAGAAGGGCCAGTCCTCGCTGGAGTCCACTCTCGGAGGGTGATAGCATTGCTTTTGTGTAAATTATGTAGTCCACACTTTTAAATCTTTGCCTTAATACTTGCTCTTTTTGTTTTATTTTGAATGGCCCCCTATCTTGTCCCCAACTTGAGATGCATGAAGGCTCTTGGTCCTCCTGGGAGTGGGTTGAGGTGTGGAGGCAGCCAAGCAGGGCTTACCAGTTTAATAAAGTGCACATCTTAAAGAAAACAACAACAAAAAAACAAAAGCCAGAGAGAGGATTTAAAAAACAAAACCCACGAGAGAAGCGTTAAAGGGCTTGTGGCCCTGGTGGCTAGCTCCGTTGGTTGGAGCTTCATCCGGATACACCAACACTGCGGGGTCCACCCCTGGTCAGAGCACATTCGGGAGTCAACCGGTGAATGCGTAAATGGGTGAACCAACAAATCGTTGTTTCTCTCTCTCTCCCTAAAAGTCAGTGAGTAAATTAATTAATTAAAATAAAGTGCTCCTCTCTGCAGTTAGTGGGGGTCATGACCTTACTCTTCCAGCCCCATCCTCTCCCGTAGAGGTGGTATGACCACGTAGCTGGTCTTATCCCATCTGCCTGACATGATGAAAATACAGGGCAAGGCAAAGCAGCGGCTCTTCTTTCCTTCCCTCTCTCTCCTTTCCCTCTTTTTAAAACAATTGTTTGTTTGTCTTTATTTATTTATTTATTTATTGAATGGATTCCAGAGAGAGGAAGGGAAGGAGAGAGAGAGAGAGAGAGAGAGAGGGAGAGAGAGAGGAATATTGAAACATGGATCAGCTGTCTCCCACACACACCCGACTGGGGATGTGCCCTGACCAGGAATCTAATCCACCACCTTTTGGTGTATAGGCCTATGCTCCAACCAACTGAGCCACAGCAGCCAGGACTAAGCAATCACTGATTAAATTATGCTGTGTTGTCTGTTTCTTTACTTCTGTTGCTTTTCTTATTTGCCTTTGATTACATTGTTTTTATTAATACCTTCCATCTGTCAATTCCCAGAGCAACGAGAGCAATGCTATCGCCCTCCCCAAGTGGACTCCAACGAGAGCAATGCTATGTGTTTGCTGGTGTGTTTTGCTCACTTGCAAGAGGTCTGGGGAGGAGTAAAGAGGGATTATGATTCCAGGCCTAGGCTGACAAAACAGGAGGATGAAGGCCTTGCCTACGTCACAGAACTGTTCTAAGGAGGAGATGAGAGAGCCTTTATGATCATGTTCAATGAGAGAGTGTTTATAGCTGCTTATCATTATTATTTTTTAAAATATATATTGATTTTTTCACAGAGAAAAAGGAAGAGGGATAGAGAGCTAGAAACATCGATGAGAGAGAAACATCGATTAGCTGCCTCCTGCACACCCCCTACCGGGGATGTGCCCGCAACCAAAATACATGCCCTTGACCAGAATCGAACCCAGGACCTTTCAATCCACAGACTGACGCTCTATCCACTGAGTCAAACCGGTTTCATCTATCGTTATTATTTTTATACCACACTGTGGAGGAGTTATTTTGGAAAGGTTGAACCAAACCTTGAGAAGTTGGTAGGGTTTTGGCAGGTTGAAATGGAGAAGAGAATCCAAACCAAGTGAAGGAGCAGAGAGGAGAGATGCGAGGCGTGTACTGCACACCTTGAGCATAACTTTTAGCTGGAGAGGAGAGAATGGGAGCAAGGGCGAGCAGCAAGCTAGGAGATGTTGTAGTTAGAATGTCAGAGCCTTAGAGGTCTGCATCTTTGTCTTTTAGTCAGTTATTATGTAAGTTATTTTTCTTACTTTAATCATGACTATTTTCTTGGACACTTTTGTATACAACCATTTGATTATTAAATGCGTTTTTTTTTTTGTTTTTGTTTTTTTTTCTGAGTATAGTTTTGTTTCGTTTGAAAAAAATATTTTATTGAGCCCTAACTGGTTTGGCTCAGTGGATAGAGTGTTGGCTTGTAGACTGAAGGGTCCCAGATTAGATTTAGGTCAAGGGCATGTACCTTGGTTGCGGGCACATCCCCAGTAGGGAGAATGCTGGAGGCAGCTGATTGATGTTTCTCTCTCATTGATGTTTCTAACTCTCTATCCCTCTCCCTTCTTCTATTTAAAAAATCAATAAAATATATATTTTTAAAAATGTTTCATTGAATTTTAGAGAGAGAGGAGGGGAAAGGGGCAGAGAGAATGAATACTCCTATGCCTACAACCCAGCTTAAATCAAATGTTCTAAAATACATATATGAAGTTTCTTAAGATATTACTTTAAGTAGTAAACCTAAATATAAAAGAGATAAATGTACTAAAATATTTCAAACCCAATAACATCTCCATTCTAAGAATTAGCCAAATGTTCACTGGATGGAATTTTATATAACCATTAAAATTATGTATACAGCCCTAGGTGGTTTGGCTCAGTGGATAGAGCATCGGCCTGTGGACTGAAAGGTCCTGGGTTTGAGTCCAGTCAAAGACACATGCTTAGGTTGAGGGCTCAATCCCCAGTAGGGGGTGTGCAGATGGCAGACTATCAATGATTCTCATTGTTGATGTTTCTATTTCTCTCTCCCTCCCCCTTCCTCTCTGAAATCAATAAAAATATATTTTAAATAAGTATGTATATAGGTAAGAGTTTACATTGAGCTATTAAGTAATTAAGTAAACTTAACCAAACATGCCATAATAACTTTTATTTGGTAGCTATAGACTTTTAACATTAAAAGTTAAATACTTTTTTTGTATCAGTTTAACAAAACATTATATTTGTATTAGTATTTTAAAAAAAATCTTTATTGTTGAAAATATTACATGTTTCCTCCCCCCCTCCTTCCCCCGCCATTGACTTCTCCCAGTCTGCTCCCATCCCCCAGCACAGGAATAAAGCAAGTTATATACTTGTATATTCTGTTAATATATCCATTGTATCTGCTATTTGAAAGAGGCCTTTTCTGCCCTCTTCTATACTTTGTTTTTAAATAAAAATATTTTAGAATACAGAAAAGTGTCAAGCTTTTGTATGTTGATTTTTGGTAGACATGTGTTCAAGTCATTTGGGTATATACCAAGGAATTGCTGAATTGTATGATAAGCCTACGTTTATCTTTGGAAGAAAGTGCCAGGCCGTTTTCCCAAGTGCCTGTACTGTTGTTTCGGAGTTCCGTAGCTCTGAATCCTTGCTAACGTTTGTTGGTGTCAGTGTTTTGGATTTTAGCCTTTTTAGTAGATGCGTAGTGGTATCATGTTTTAGTTTTTGATTACCTAATGACCTTTTTACTATGTTTACTATGGTTAAGGGTCATCTTTCATGAATTTTATCCTTGGGAAGTAGTAGTACAATGGGATCTGTGACAGTAATAGTCATAGTCATGTGGTGGGAGGGGTCCATTTTTCCATGGGCTACTACCTTTTTGGTTGTTGCTTTTCTTACCTTTGGGGAGAAAATTTCTAAAGTCCCCTTAAGAACTTTCAGAGCAGGGGAAAGTATCTTATATGACTTTATCTGGGTTTCTTCCAATTTGAATATGGTCACTTAAAATTATAGAACTAGGTACTGAGTGCTATCAAAGCTCTAGTTAAATTGAAGAAAGCTAAGTTTGGACTAGAGTCATTTGAAAGCTTCAGCTTTAGAATGTGACTTTTAGAGAGATCCAAGATGGCTGCGCCCAGGTGAACACCTAGCAGCAGCCGCACACAACAATTTCAATAAAATACAACTAAAATATAAAACGGACATTGCCCAGAACTACAGGAAGGTTGACTGATTGGAAATTCTACAGCGAGAAGCAAGGAGAAAACCAGAAGGAGGTGCGGAGGATCTGGAAAAGCCCAAGGTACGGAGACGCGGTGTGGAGACGACGGAGCCAGAGAGGAGGGAGGCCGAGTGCCTGGCGGGCGTTCCCTATCAGAAAGGAGATAAAACTCCGACTGTGCTGGGCCCCCGACTGCTCTGAACCCCAGTTCTAGGCCAGACCCCGGGGACCCAGGCTCACACAGAGGGAGCTGGGCTGTAAGGCGGAACCCCGGGGAAGTGGCGAAAGGAGGTCCCGGAGGCGCGCACACTGCGCGCAGAGAAGGGACATTCGGCTGTGCCGCAGGATTGCCCTGGCAGGAAGGAGACTGGGGCTCCAGACTGCTCTGAACGCCACCTCCAACTCCACTTCCAACTAAACTGAACCCCAATACCGGGCTCATTGGGGGAGAGCATAGACTGTTTGGCAGCAGGCGAAAATCGAGGGCACCTTTCTCTGAGTCGCCGGCAGTGAGCACTGAAGGACCCGCATAGGGCAGGGCTGACGGAAGCCAAAACTGCAGGCTCCACCCTGAAACCCCGTCCCATCTGTAACTGCGAAATGCGACAACAAAATAGATCACAAATGAAAGAAATGGAGGACAAAAAGCGTTTGGATATAGAGTTCAAATCTACGCTTATAAGGTTTTTCAAGAATTTCCTAGAAAAGATGGGTAAGGCCTATGAGGATATGAAAAGAGATCAACTAGAATTATAATAATGAGTCAACAAGAAATGATAAGGGATCAACAAGAAATAAAGAATACATTGTCTGAAATAAAAAAATATTTTACAGAGTCCTAAAAACAGAAGGGAAGATCACAAGAATCAAGTCAAAGATTTGGAACAAAAAGAGCCAGAAGACACTCCTCCACAGAAGATAGAAGGCAAGAGAATCCAGAAAATTGAAGATAATGTAAGAAAC